TTGTTACGACTTTTTGTAAGCAGTTTAAGTTAGTTTATATAATAAATAAAACAATAATATATTTCTTTTTGCATTGATCGATAAACAGTATTTTTAAATAAATATAGAAAATCATCAATATTTAGATGGAGTGACGATTTGCGCAAGATGGCTGGCAGGAGCTGGATGCGAGAAGCCTAAAATCGATCTAAGTGGCGTGCAATGGGAGAGGCCTATGTCCAGCAATGAACTGCGATAGTAATGAATAGTTGAAATTCATGTTTTAGCGTAGAGTAGTGAAGAAATGAAAGATGATAAATACTAGATTCGATTGATTAAAACTTGACAGCTTCTCTAAAATCGATTGTGAAATCATCACTAAGAGGCTACTTATCGAATAGTCAATTAGGAAATCAATTAAGGGCTGGGTATAGTGACTGTTTTAAAAAAAATTATTACGAATCCTGGCAAAATAATAAAATGTCACTGTTGTGAACACACAAAGCTTATAGGCACTTTTTATAATCTAAATATATCTAAGTCCTATTTTAAAGATACTAACATTGTGAGGCGCACGTAGGCGCCGCTATGATGACTACATCTAAATTCGGATACGGTGGGGATAACACTCCATGGGCCACAACCATCTTCTTGCACGAATTCATACTGAAGTAAAACGTCTGTAATGCGCATTCTCGAAAACACTCAAAGGTCTGCGACCAAAACACTGAAGTCACTCGCATATCGCCAATTATGTTATCCACAGCACTATTCACACAGCACAGGACACCACGTGTTCATAGATCACTAAAAACCATTTTCAACATTTTTATTTACAAATTTAAATTATACAAAAACATGTTTGTAACATGATTGTATTGCTTGAAGTATTGCGAGATTAGATAAACAACAGTATGCAATAGAAAAAATTCAATGATGCGCGTGATTTGACTGAGCTATTGTTACTTTATATCGATAAGATAAAGATGATGGCGAGAAACGAGAGCGTTCATCTATGTGGAAAACGGGACTGATAGATTGCGGGGTTGTGCTTTTGTTAAGATCAGGTGGATTACGTGGGCGTCACACTCGCACAGTTCATTATCTCGCATTCACAGATAAAGGTAATCGAAGCGATAACGTTCCCGATAACTCATTCAGTTTGCACAACGGTAAGTACTTCTAGCGGTATGGAAATATATTCAAAGGAATAAATACATTACTCACTAGTCGCCCTTTTATAACATTCTGTGTCTTTTGTCACAGAAATAAAGAAAAAAAAACAATAAACTCGCTCGTGCATGTCGATTTATTACACAGAGGCTTTTATTTGTCCGAAAGCAGGGATTTAATTAAGAAATTCAAAGGTTGACTGATCAAAAGAAAATATTGATTAGAGAATTCGGATGAGCGATGTTATTTTTTTCAATTTGAAACAAAATGGAAAAAGATTTTGAGACTTAATATTAAATACAATAGAAAGAGTCCGTTTCGGTCAACAAAGAACTGTTTGTCAGAGCGTATAATGAATAATGAGAATTTTTCTATATGAAATGGCCTTTAATGAATTTTAAACGCTTGTTAAAATGTATGCGTGTATTGCATAAAAGTTATTTGCGTCCATTTTACGAATACTTGAAATTGTGTATTTTTACATCACTTTTTGGTACACGCACTTGTTTACGCTATCGTAAGCTTTTATTTGGATAGGTAGTACAAATGTGCAAGTAAATAGATTTACTAATAATTTATAATGCTTATTTTATTTTGTAATGGTGTCATAAACATAGCAATAGGTATAATTCGATTAAGAAAACGGGTGGTGTTCTCTATTTTATTTAGTTCAAATATTTGATATTTGAGTTCAAATAGCGAGAGAATGATGAATTCTGGAGTGGAGACTGACAAGAAAAGATGGATGAGGAGAGTTGATGATCGAGGTGAGTGGCGTTCATTAGGAGAGGCTTGTGTTAAGCAGTGGACGATGAAAGACTGAAGAAGTGAATATTATATTGAATAACATGAGTCAGTCTAAAAGTCAGTGAGTCAGTCAGTCAAGACGATAAATATATTAAAAGAAATACAACCCATTTCAATGCAACATTATTTAAAGTTTTAATAGAAAATATAATTTAGTAAATATTTCCAAAACTCTTAATCATTACCCTCGTAATTGGTTGTCATACCAAATTTTTAAACAACCAACCCTGTTGGTTAAAATTGTGGTTCAAACGTTTTAACTATACAAACTTATACAAAACTTTTTCCTGGAATAAAGCGAACCGGCGTTTTAGTCAATTTAAATATTGAAATACAGTATTTGCAGACTTCCAAAATGAAAACCTCAAGACACCATTTTTTTTTTCATTCACGCCTTTAAACTTTCACAAATAGGATGATGCTAAAACACAAATTACTTCACAACAAAAGGGAGCCCTCTTAATTAGGGTTCCGCTGAACATTTTCGTTGTGAATCAGGCAGCAGTTTGTTTAGGACAGCTATTTCTGTTCTACTCTGGGTAAAAGATACACAGAGAGGATCTTACCAACTTCCTGTCCATTCTACACTTCCAGTAGTTTACGATTTTAACCTCATTTTCCTTCATTTAATCATCATAATCATAGGGTTTGTTTCAAGTTTTCTCCCTCAGTCGGCTCTTACGACACCCACGGGATGAATAGGGGTGGTGACACTTCGTAGTTTTAATCCGTTACCATACGGTTGGAAAATAAGATAATTATATATTATGTAGATTATTATAGATTGCCAATTCATAGTATTTAAATGTTTTTTTTAAATGTTATTACAAAGTATTTAAAACGGTTTTATACAATTTTATACCTAGTATTCGAGTGCGTAAGAAACTTTTTCCTTTGATAAGATAGTCTCCTTTGTTATTTTTCGGTTTATACACTAGCTTTTAAGCGCAGCCCCGCCCGCGCGTATGTCGGTTATCGCAGAAAAAAATTAACCTATTTTACTCGTTCTTTTGCCAATGGAAAGCTACCGCTAGCTAAAATCGGTTTTGGGGTTTAGGCGTGAAAGCGTAACAAACAAACAAACTCACATTCAAATTTATAATATTGGTATGGATATCAAATCAGACGATGATAACGAATATGTATGTATGTATAAACGACTGACGCACAAATAAAACCTATGTTCTCATGGTGTATTGAAAAGTTTTATTCGTATAGAGACGCAATTCGACCTTAATTCTATAAATTAATAATATGCCTAGTTTGTATCTAGAAAGCATTGTGTAATATTTGCCATTATTTTATTATTCCATGTCCCATAATTGTCTTCCTAATCGCAGGATCGACATAAAGTTAGGCAACCCCGGCTCAAACAACTGTAGTCCAATCCCCGTTCCCCCTCACTCTTAATCATAATTTCCCACTCTTATCCTTACCTTCTAACTACTCTTCTTTCTACATCCCGTCTAAAAGCCATTACACTCCTAGAAAGCGATGGCGTCAAAAATGCTGTCATAAAAATAATCAGCCGGAACATATTGCAATGTAACACATTACGCCAAACACATTAATTAGGCAAAGGGCAGGAAAATGGTAATTTTCTTGACCATTAATATTAAATACACTTTGTTAAACTTAAACTCCTGGGTAGATAAATTCTTAAAGTATAATTAGAAACAGGACTAGTTGTTACCAATCAATATTGTTTGAGATAATTTATAACAGAGCATTATATAAGATAAAATAACCGAGGCATTGATAAATGGTTGTTTGTTAGAGACTACGTCAATATCCTTTAATCTCTTTGTATCAGATGTCAGACGAATGGAAATTGATAAGTAGAAAACGAAGGATTAACTTGCTCGAATAAACACATGTTTATTATATTGTATGTATTTATACCGCAACAAAGGGTTTCGTGTTATCTGCGGACACAGCTGATTTGGATGCCCATGGATGTGTCAAAACAGAAATTGAGGATCGGGAATCGCGAGTGCTATCGATCTGACTTGATCACAGAGCATTCACTAGTAAGCCAATCTTCACTAGTCGGAGAGATATTAAAGAAGAAAGAACAAAAAAAAAAAGTTTCACGAAATTAAAAATTGTCGTGTGTAATACTTGCCACTAATTGTCACCATTCTTTATGCATTACGGACCAAACTGTTCACATGATGGCAAGTGCCCCCCACAAAAATAAGGCACGGCCTTAAACCTCAGTAACCTTACTTGGTGAATTGCAACAATAGAATTGCTCAACACAGGCTTTCTGTGGTAGTGGTATCACTGTGTTTTCATTATATTGTTTTGTAAAAAAAGTATCGAGAATTTCTTGGTGGAGATTAAATATAGGTAGGTAGGTAGGAATAGGGTTGTCCACGTATACTCTAATTCCTAAAATCAGTTAACATTCATTTATATATGTGATGATAAATGCAGATATGTATATAGATAACGCGAAGGAATTCTGCTGAAAATTTCTTTAAATTATCAATTGCTAAGAAGCATACGTATGAATAATAGCGACGATAATTATCCTTTATGATACAAATATTTATTGTTACTGTAAGAAGCTTTAATAACCTCCTCGTTACAGAATGTTACTCATTCGTACGACAGTGTATGACTTTCCTCGCGCATAATTATTGTAATTATTGAAAGGGGGGATTGGTAGCATATGATTAATTGGCCATCTTATGTAACAGTATTTCTATATTTAATTATTCTTAACTTTCTATAGAAAAGAAATGGATAAGATCAGTATTTAGTAGAATTTAGTAGTAGTATTTAGCAACGGGTTGAGCTGCAATTTTCATTCGCATTTAATGTTGCAAATATGGGTGTATGTCAGTTGTAATTTTTTAATTCAAAAACACTAAATGTAACTGAATTGGCTATAGGCTTCTCTCCGTTAAAAGTGATGCGAATTAATGAACTGTCAGTGTGTAAATGCCTTTATATACTTTGGATTCAAATGCCAAAAGTTAAGCAAAAATAACTTATTTTAAAAAGTAATATGAAAACATACACATTATACTAACTTTTCTCATCACTATTCAGATCCAAAGGAGACAGCAAATCGGCGGGCATCGAATCAAACGGATGATTCGCAGCCACCTTCAGAAAGTCATTCCAAAAACTGCTCATAATACTCGATAAAGCCATTGATAGGTAATTAGTCACATCACTGAAAGTAATTTAAAACTGTTCCAAACTAAAAAAAGTTATCATTTCATATTATTGTTCTGTATTTAAAAAAAACTTTCTATATAATGTCCTTCGTAGTTTAAAATAGCAGAATTCGGTAGTGTTTACAGTGAAAATATTGTTTTTTTTTTTCCGGCGAGTATTTTATCCATGGAAGCGCGGACGACGACTGTTATGTTCTTATCAAGGTAGCGTCGTTTCGACTATCGCGTTGATAAGCCTCACCCAAAACAATCAGGTGAAACAGATAGTGTTGACAACATATGTTAGATGAGTATCAGAGAAACGGCATAAGGTGGCGGCACTTACTTATCGACCGCACCTGAAATCTAGGTTGTGTTGAACTTGTGCTACTTTTGTATAGGTAAAAGATATTATAACCGCTCGACAATTTACAATTAATGATTACTTGATATAGAAATCATACATTAAAGGCGTGTTAATTAATTTTTTTTTTTTTAAGAATTGTATTTTTTTTTTATATATCATGTAATATGAACCACAAATTAAGCGGCTAGTTTCTGAATTAGATAATGTACATTGCGCGTTTTGTGAGTACCTCATTTCGTACGATTGAGTAAAATTACGAATTTATGCGTAAATACGCCGTGATAAGGTATTCATGTACCTGCCAAAACTGGGTCACACATGTTTTTTATACATACCTATTATTACTTCATAGCACCTTTTTATATGTCATTAATTATTCACAGTATATGATCTTCTTTGATAAGAAAATGAATTAATTGATAAAAAATGGATTTTATTTGTTTTTACAAAAAATAAATAAAATCCTTCTTAAGCATAACACATAAATAATGATGATATAATACATATTCTTATAAGAAAAGAATACTCGAGCACCATAATCACATAATTTACTATTTAATATATAAGGTAGAAAAAAAAGAAATCGCACTTTGCGATAATAATAGGTAATTCTTTGAAATATGTGATAATTTGCCACTGAAGAGTGCTGAGACTTGACGGCAGAGGCGTGCACGTGTGCGTCACGACGAGTCATTTCCAATTTCAATGTAACATGACAACTGAGAGTCAGTAACATGGGCACGATTTTAATTAACCTGTGCCTCGAATAATCAAATGTTATGACGTGTAAATACCGCAGCCATGTTCATACTGCTGGGAACATTTGACAGGCTGTCATATCGATTTTAAAATCGCATAATATCGATATTGTACTGGCAGGAATATATTCATGCGTTTAGTTTAATGTCATAGGTTCAAAAAGAGAATTTCAAAATGATGAGTGTAATCAAGCGTGATTCAAAGGTTTGTGTGATTTCTTTGGACCAGCGGGCTCAAAGGGGCTCAAAGATTTTGAAAAAAGAAGTCGTCGTCGCCCATATTGTTTTTATAATTTATTAAGAAAATCAAAACAATTTTTAAGTACAATTACGTTATATTACTCGTATTATTAGTGAGCCAAACCGAAGAATAAAACCATATTTTGTTTTAAATTAATTGTTCGGATACGCAGGCCAAAACTAAACCAAACCGAAATGACGAACGACCAGATTTAACAGCTAAATTCTATAATTTTAAAAATAGAAAATGTAACTTACTTTTTTCATTTTCCTTTTGTTTAACCGGAGCTCTCTGATCACAAATAACACTCAGCAGTTCTAGTAAACAGTCTTGTTCTTTTCTTCTAACCATTTTTGAAATATGTTCGCTTTCCAACAGTATTTAAAATAAAAGCCTACAGAACCAACTAAATATTAGATATATTTATCAACGTTAAGGAGTTGAGTAGGTACAGGAATTGTACGTTATACTATCAGAACACGGATGGGCCACAAATCCGGTCCAGTACAACCTGAAGATAAGCAAATACGCAAGTTGTATTATATTTTCCTATGGTTTACAAAGTTGAATGTACCATAAAAGGAAATGGAGGAAGGTCTTGATGAAGGTCCACAGGATGCAACTAAATGGGAATCTGTGCAGTTAAAAAGCTACGCTATAATGAAATCAGGTGAAAAGCTTTTTTTTTTCATGGACCAGTGTTACAAACGTTACACATTTTTAATTAAATTAGGATATTTTATCACAAAATATAATTTGGATGTGTTTAGTCATGTTAAGCGGTCCGGATATTGAAATTCAAATTGCCATTCAGTAAATCAGACAAAAGAAAATGATAATTTTGAGATAAAAGTTCATAAGCAGAATGGTGATGAATGAAATTTGAAGTGAATCTAAAAAGAAATAAAATCTACACAAAGATTAATTTTATCTCGAAAATAATGACAAAAGCGATACTAACGCGAAAGCAAAGCCGCAGGCAAAGGCTAGCATGACAAAAATTAGTAATAACAGAAACACTAAGTGTCTAAATAACTTGATTTAGTTCCAACCATAAATATTTTACCCGAATTAACATAAAAACTAACAGTAAATAATTGATTCCATTGATTGCCTCACATCAGAAAACACTTCACAAAACATTAATATAACACACAAACACTTAGACTACAGAGTATACAAAAAATTGATAGCAAAAATATATAGTACTTCGCCGAGCCAAAATAAAACGCGCAATGATATATAGATCGCAAAATATTGGGGCGAATATTAACCTTTTACGTATATACGTATCAATGGCCTAGTTTTGCGACGATATCTCGCCAAGGCCACCGAAGTGGGGAAGGAGTGGGGAAGCAGGGGAAGTGGGTATTCTTGATGTCTAGTCCGTATGTGTTTATCAATGATCGGACACCTGCAAGCTGATTTGTGGGGTTCCGTGCCTTAGTATGGAAACTCAATGAGGCGGAAAGGGTACGAGCTACCATTAGAAACCGGTGTATGCAAAGTTTATGCGTTGAAAAAGCTAATAGCTTTAGTTTTGAGTACCTGGCAATAACATTATTACGCCATGAATAATCCCGCGCAGATGGCATATTCAATAACTATCTGCTTGCTGTTACGATGTTATTTAAAGTTTAAGGAAATATATTTTGTGTGTCGTATTCGTATTATACAAGTTTTTTATAGACTTGGTACTATGGTTAAAGTGCACTTAGATACATAACACAGGCGTTACAATAATATACTAAGATCTTTTTAAAATGAGCAAAGATATTGCGTAATAAACTCTCTCTCTGCGTAAAAATATTTCTATCGTCCTTCTTAAGCTTGTTAATCAGTGTTTCCAAAATGAACAAGCATAAATATAAAATTAGTCAATATTGAAAGGTAATTATCAAAATCATTTGTCTATTTCTTCTCTTGGAAACAATAAGACCTACTGTATGGACGTATATTTAACAGCACAACTTCAAATAATAACACATTCTCTGTGTATTTGGTAAAACACAGATAGAATATTTTGCTTGATTTGTGATTAGTTCGTGACTAAGCTTCCGTCATTCTGAGTTTTACGTTTATTAGTGCAACTCAGTATGAATATCCACTAAGAACCACTAAGAGCGTACATATCTTTAACATGCTAGACGTCCAATATACATTAAAGTATCTAGACACTACACTTCGGAGCAATATGGGCTAATGGTTTTTATTTATTTGTTGCATTTTTATGTTTTACTTTACTTTCATTTCTATTCCAACTTTTTTCTTTATTTTGTTTTCTCCTCATTGCCTTTTCAGCTTTTAGTCCTTAATAAAGGACGTACTGGCACACATCAATATAATGTTGTGGTATATTTAACGATGCCATTGTATCTATCTGTTAATTAAAAAAACCGGCCAAGTGCGAGTCGGACTCGCGCACAAAGGGTTCCGTACCTTTATCTATAAAATAAAAATAAATATCTATAAAAACGGCAAAAAAATAAAATGTGTTGTGTGTGGGAACTGGTTTGTGGTTTTTGAACTGAAATGTGGTGGTTTTTTTTTTGTTTTTAGTATTTGTTGTTTTAGCGGCAACAGAAATACATCATCTGTGAAAATTTCTAACTATCACGGTATACAGCCTGGTGACAGACGGACAGACAAACAGACAGACGGACGGACGGACAGCGGAGTCTTAGTAATAGGGTCCTGTTTTACCCTTTGGGTACGGAACCGTAAAAAGAGTGGCCGTGAGTTTGTTTGCCCTTTCTTCTCATAAGGCTCAACCTATTGGAAATGGGCGGTTCTAGATCGGCACAGCCATGTAATAGATTTTCGATAGAAATAATTTTTATTATATTTATTTTGGAAAATATTTGACAAAACAGAGATTGTTGCTATTGTGTGTGTTGATCTATGACTTTAGAGTCTACATAATAGACGATTTCAATCAATTTTATGAAATAAAGATATTTTGCATTGAGTTGAGTTGAATATATGTTCTGTCAGTAGCAATACCTTGACGTTAAATTATTATCAATTTTTTAACATTCTATTTGAAAACGAATAATTAAAATATAGTAAGCAAAATAGATTATTATATTATTAGACGGAATGCCCACAAAACCAACTAGATATGTTACACTAAAAGGCAGATTGTTGTCTATTAAATACCTCTGATGTCTTTGCTTCCTTAGTACTACTATCTTAGTGGCTACGCTGTGAACACTAATTCTCTACCGTCATCATAATCCTCTATGCTTCTTTTCTATCCTACGATACAGGAAAGCAGCGTCTTGAACTGCTTTCCTTTCCTCATTCTCTAATAAATCGTAACATTTTGTTTCAAATGAATAATGAAAACTCAACCCTCGCAAATCTACATAGATACATATTTAGATGAAACTGTAACGTCAAGATCATGTTAGAATCGACGAGGTCTATCGGTAACAAGGTGCGGAGTTAAATCGGCTGAATAATTTCATCATAGCGCCCGCAATTGAATCGTATTCGCGCAGATAACTGGAATAGGATCACTAGTATTTTGATTAAAATGGCTGCACAACTTTCTGTCTGGTTATCCTGTTAAAAAAGGCTCGTAGATTATAAGCAAATAAGTTTTGAGTAGGCAAACATTTAGGAAC